AAATTCTGCTAGGCTTTTTTAATCAGTCTTCTAAAACTATAATAAATATATGTTGAAAGTGCATCAAACTACCTTTGCATACCAGCTCTCCAATCCACATGCGATTAACACATGTCACAATGTTGGACCCATCCATTTGATAAGATGGTGCACATTTGAACATCACCTTTTCACCTGACCTATAAGATTTTTTTTCCTTTTCTATGAGTACGGCATTCTCAAACCTGGGTAAACTGTCACAATCAGTTTCTGAAAGAAAAAGAATATATCAGGTTTGTTTTCAGGACATTGTAGAATATACAATATATGAAACAATAGTAGGGTTCATTGAGAACAATAAATACTGTAGGTTTCCCATTTTGATTAGTTACACTGAATTGTTCCATATTTATGAAAATAAATGAGGTGGGAATGACACTGGACTCAGAATACTGATAGTTATAATTCTTGAGGTATTTGTGCATTCAATTTTATCTCTCATACTTTCCACCCCTCTGATATATTTCTACTTTTTAGATTCATCAAAATTAATTATAATTACTATTTCAATTTTTTAGAGCATATGTGGTTGTAGTAGTATTGTTGTTAAAACCATCACTGTAGTGATGGGCCTTTTGAATAGAGTCATTGTTTTCTAGAATTCTGAGGATGTTGATTGCTCATGACACATGAAGTGGAAATAAAGTAACTGGGCTTAAAATATCAAACTGTGTTTTACTAGTTCTGTGTTTAACTGCCATCATCCAGAATATTTTTACAAACCCTTCTGATATGCTCAAACTACAGTTTACTTTCTTATTTATACCACATGTTGCTTGAATTGAATAATCTATTATGAAATGAATGAAATAAAGTTATACTTATGCAAGCTGGTGGCTGGGACCACTTTCCTCCTACACATTTAATAAATGCTGATCCATCTGTTCCAAAACCTTCAGAACAACTGTATGTCACCTCTTCTCCATGTTGGTAAATGTCTAGTTCATGAGACACAATACCGTGATGGATTGAAGGTGGAGGACCACAAGGAAGTCCTAAAAATATCACAATGAGAGAAAGAGAGTGAAATGATTCCACATTGTACTAATTGAGAAGCTCACTTGTATGTGTTAGGTCTATGTGTTCTAGAGGGAAATGTTAACAAGGAAGATGTACCATCACAGAAGAGGTGGACAGTGTGTCCTAAGAACACCTTCTATGGTCATGAATCTGTTAGAATGCTTCAACACTGAGCAAGAACTTGACACCAAATGTCTGTAAAATCATGAGTGGCTAAAGAAGAAGTGAGCAAGAAATAGTAATCTCAGGAAACATATATTGCAGGTGCAGCATATTGTGGGGAAAAGGAACCCAGTAATTCAACACCTGGTGGCAAATGGAACAGTACAACTCACATGAACAGGTGAAGACAGTAGACTAAACTTCATATTTAAAAGCAGAATCGAAAAATAAAAGTAGATTTCAAGACAATCAATACAATTAACAAAAGCAGGATATATCAAATTATGAAAATAGAAATTTATGATTTATAGATAAAACACAAATCTATGTATAAATCTAAATCATGCATTCTTCTTTATTCATGAGAAAAATTTTTGGTAAAGACTTGTTCTGAAACCAGAATTGAATTTTCATGCTGTTCTCACCTACACATCGAGGTGGAGCACTCCACTTCCCCATGTGGCAGGTTACCCCATGGTCCTCAGCCAGCCTAAACCCATCATCACAAACATAGCTGAGTGTAGTGCTGTGTTTGTAACTTCTGGACTTTGCTTTGTTTCTCCTTTCTTGTGATCTGGGTAATTTAATAGATCCGTGGTCTATTTCAGGGGGCTGGGAACATGGGATTTTCGCTATACGAAGAAAAGAAATGAAATAGTGAAGCATAGATGAAGATTTTACATTGGTAAATAAAGACAAACTGTTTGGGTCATGTCTCCACAGGATATATGTTAAGCCCTAGTTTTTACTATCCTCCCCCTTCACTTGATTTCTCTTTAGTATTCAAAGAAACAATGTTTTAAAATAGTCATAGCTACTGACCAACACAGCGTGGTAATGACTGCCACCTTCCATCTCTGCACACCATCTCTTCTGTGTCTTGAATTAGGTAATTGTCTTGACAAATAATAGAAACTTTCTCTCCCTCCCAGTATTTCACTGTGGTTTCCATAACTCGGGCATTTGGAATCTGTGGTGGAGGAGGGCAGGATTTTTTCTCTACTCCTAAAAGATATTCAAAATCAGAGTTTTTGACTAATGATAGTATATTAAGTTATTAAAGCAATAATTTTTAAATATTAATTATGACAATGTAATAATTATATTTATTTTATACTTATGAAAAGTTTTGTCTAAGTAACTTTAAAATTAAGATACCTCATATTCATCATTCAGATTCATAACACAAATGTGTGCTTTACTGGTGGTTGTTAATAATAATTTTTTTTCTATTTCTTCTTAAGTGGAATGAAACTATTAGAAAGAAAGTAACACTTCCACCATTAATACATTTTCCCACATTCTTTGAACACTTAGCTAGCCACGTGGGAAAGGAAAATAATTATCACCTTACTTCACACAATAATCCAAAATTATATCAGAACTGATTAAACCAGAGGGAACTACAAATTAACATGTGCACTTCATTAAAATATACATAATAGGTTGATTTTTGAATTACATGGAATTAATCTCCTTGAAAAATTTTCAGAAATGTTATAAAATACCAAGTGATGTATGACATTCAAAGTGACAGTGACAAATACATATAGGGAAACAGAAATGGTCAAATGGAATCTTTGCTATTTACATGAATTTGGAGATGTCAAATGAGTCAGTTTTCTACAAAACAGATCGATTACAAGAATGATTGAACTATTAGATTACCACTATGTACACTCATCCAGAAATGCATGATGATTAAGCATAGATCCACAAATGCCATACCACTTTTGATGTGATGAAATAATCAGAAGTAAAGGGAATCTAAGAGTAAGAAATAATTATGACACAGAGGTGAATTCATTTTCATCCAATTTGCTTGAATGTTTTATATTACAGGCCTATAACAGCCTTAATACAGTAATTTCTAAATCATCTTCTCTTTTTAAAAAGTATTTTTCTGGTATGTCATCTATGAGACAGTGTCTTCATACATGGAAGGTTATTTTAACCCATAAAATCTCGAAAGAATGGTCACCTAAACAAGACTTGCATGATGACAATACCAGTTGACATGTCAACATGGATAGAGAAAATCGTACAAGGCCTTATCCTAGATGAAGAGCTACAGGTAATTAAATGGGCATGTAGAGAGTGGTAATCAATCTTCTGCACAGAAGAGTGATCCAAAAAGTAAGATATCCAATCCTAAGCCCTTCTTCCTAAACACATACACAATGAAGAAGCACTAGATGGTTTCATCAGGTTCAATTATATAAACCAGTTTGAGTAGGAAGATGGAGAGTTGGAAATGACAAAAATACAGGATTCACATATAAAACACTTAAAACTTACATTGTTTTAAGAACTCAAAGCTACTACTATTACAGGTGAAAAAAGACTACTAGTCATAGGAAGACAGTGCAAAGATGCTTACTTGTACAGGTTGGCTCTGGATCCCATCTTCCATTGATGCAGATTGAGTGTTTATACTCCTGCTTTCCTCTACATTTGTAACTTATGCTAAAGTTGTGATTAAATTCACTCTTCTCAGGGAGTTTTGCCCCCACTGAACTTAACCTCGGTGCTTTACACTTCTCCAGTTGATCTGTTTCTATATAAAAATAGTTCCATGAAAAAATAAAGACAAGAAGTGAGCTAGCTGCTATATTCTAATTAAAAAATAGTTATGAAACTATTATTTATACCTATAAATTCTGTTAACCAAAATGGTGAGGGTCATTCTGCAAAAGAGATTTATGATATGGGAACTAGATCTCATGTCTACCTTGTACATCTGTGAGAGTTTGTGATGTGAAGTGATTTTGGTACTTGGCAATTGTAAGTCCACAGGAAATCAGAGTTTCAGGCACTCTATATAGTAAATGATTATGACATGACCAACTTTGATCCCATACTTGAAAGCAGTAAGAATTTTCATATTTGTTGCTCTTCTAATCTAATGTTTAAATATATTAAAATAAAATTACAATAGGATAGGATATAAGAAGTTTCTACTTTTTATGATTTTTTATTGATTTTATTGAGTTAAACATTTTTCTCTGCTCTCTTCCCTACCTCTCTCTTCCCCTTCTATTTTCTCCCATGGTTCCCGTGATCCCAATTTACTTAGAAGATCTTGTTTTTAACTACTTCCCATGTAGATTAGTTCCATGTATGCCTCTCTTAGCATCCTCATTTTTGTCTAGAATCTCTGGGATTTTGAATTATAGGTTGGTTTTTTTTTGTGCTTTATGTCAAAAAGCCACTTATGAGTGAGTATATATGATATTTGTCTTTCAGGGTCTGGGTTACTTCACCCAATATGATGTTTTCTAGATCCATCTATTTGCCTGCAAATTTCAAGATGTTATTATTTTATTCTGTTGTGTAGTACTCCATCATGTAAATGTACTACATTTCTTTTTTCATTCTTTGTTCTGTGGGCATTTAGGTTGGTTCCAGGTTCTGAATATGACAAACAATGCTGCTATGACCATAGTTGACTACATGTCCTTGTGGTATAAGCAATTATACTTTGGGTATATACCCAAAAGAGGTATTGGTGGATCTTGAGGAAGGTTGTTTCCTAATTTTCTGAGAAATCACCATGCTGATATCTAATGAGACAGAGGGTTGATCTTCAAAATATACAAAGAACTCAAGAAATTGGTCATTAAAAGAACAAATAATCCAATAAAAAAGGAGTACAGGCCTAAACAGAGAACTCTCAACAGAGAAATCTAAAATCACTGAAAGACACTTATGCTTAACACGCTTATCCATCAGAGAAATGCAAATCAAAACAACCCTAAAATTCCATCTTATACCTGTAAGAATGACCAAGATCAAAAATACCGATGACAACTTATGCTGAAGAGGTTGTGGGGTAAAGGAAACACTCCTGCATTGCTGGTGGGAGAAGTTTCTACTTTAAATGTCCTTTTTTGGATACATGTGATATAAGAAAAGAATATCTAAAGTACATTTGTAAATAACAACTATTTAAAAATGTTTTCTTAGTGAGAGAATTGGTGTAAGAAATTAGGAGCTTGTAGTCACCATCTATCTTCTTTATAGTCCCTTTATAAGAATCCTTAAGATGTTGCTACATGTGCTAGACTATTCTATAATATAACAATATTATGTCATAATGATAAATCTGTCTGCTTGTGTTATGAGTTAAGTAAAAACTATATAGAAAACTTATGTCAGATATTTTAACTACTTAGTGAGGATGAGAGTTCTCTTTGAATTTGACAAAATTTCAGTATAGGTCATGCATAACATTTGTTCTTAGTTAAAAAGAGAAAGAGAGAGAGAAAGAGAGAGAGAGAATGGATAGAGCAAATAAAAGTAAGTAATTAGCAAATGTTCTACAATTGTTTTAAGAAAAAAAAGAGTATTTACTATAATGACCACTGCATTTCATGCATTCAAGGATTATTCTCTTCCTTAAGATTACCTCACATGAAGAGAAAACCTGATGTTCTGTAAAGATAAGTTGGGGAGAAACTTATAGTCTAGGGCGCATGGTGATTGTGTGATGGATTTGTTTCTGAAAGATTCTCTTATTCATCAAGAGAAAGCAAAACATATGAAGAATCCTAAGAATGTGTGAGGTAGAAAAAGTTTGTACCGTAAGGTTAATGTTGTAGTGCTGCTTGTGATAAATGGAGAGGCTGATATGAAGGTGACTGTAGGTGGATGAACCATCAGAAGAAACTCTCTGACGTCTGAACAAATGGTAAAGCAGAAGCTTGTAAAAAAAAATGCAGAATTGAGTTTTCAGGCCTGACGTTATGTCTGATTTTCTTTCATATAAAATTTTTGGTAATTTTAAAGCAGTGATGAACATCTTGAAGAAAGTGATTTTTACAAAATTCATTTATTTACCAAAAAGATTAAGGATTAATAAACAGTAGAGGCATTGATTTATATGAAAAACTGTTATGGAGTTGATAGGGCTTCTGTGTGTGGAGAACATATGAGTAAACAACACAAGTATACATGACCTGTCTAAGGACAATCTACGTTTCTTTGGCATTATCTTCATGACCATCTGGACACATACATCAAATTATAAATATATAATTTTGGATCCATATTGTTCGAGATAAGATGTTTTCAAAAAGAATATTAACTTCAGAAGCATATAGTAGCAAATATCTCTGCAATGAAAATATGAGACTTGTAAAGTATAAATTTAAGGCACATGGTCTTACCAATACATTGAGGAAGCTGGGTCCACTTTCCACTAATGCATGAAACTGACCCACTTCCAATCATTGTGAATGTTTCCAAGCAGGTGAACTCCACTGAATCTCCATGGCGGTAGGAAGGCATAGGAAATTTTACAGAGCCATGCTCAAGTTCAGGAACGTCTACACACATTCTTGCATCCTCTGTAGTTGTTTCACAAACATGTATTTATGGTTAAAACAGCACATAAGACACAAAATAGTGTTCAAATATTAACACTTTAATTACCAACACATGTAGGCAAGGTTGTCCACTTTCCATCAACACACTCGATTTTATTCGGTCCTTTCAGCAGAAATCCAGGCTTGCAATCATATTCCACGGCCTCACCATGGACATATTCTTCTTTCTTTGTTCCCTTAACTACCCCATGGAGGAGTTCAGGAGGTGGAACACATGATCCTACTTGACCTGTTGCACAGTATTGTGTAAATAGAAATGAAAATGTACAATTTGCAGTCTAAGAATCTAGTACATGGGGAAAATTGTTTTTACAAATGTTAACTATATCACTTTTTATAACATTTTATCAAATAAATACACTAACTACACATTTAAAAATTGTAATATTCCTGTTGAAATAGCATTGAAAGCATACTGAAGGTGGGAAAATGTTTTATAAAGTTGATATCTTGATGACACATGCAAATAGGTCAGCAATTGCACTTATGTCAAGTATAGACATTTTCACATTCTCTGACAACATTTTTTCATCCAGTTATCACATTGTAGAAAATATCATCACAGTAGCAATCATCCATTCAACCTATTTCAGTTTGTCTATTACAGGCTATTGAAAAGCCTGTAAATTAAATAAATTAAAAATTATTTAATTTATTTAAAACCAACTTTCATATTATTTGGACATACTCTGTGCAAACGGGCTAAAAGGCGCATCCTATAAAAATGCCAGCATTAATGGTCATCTAGACAAAAAGTATTAAAAGAAGGAAAATTAAATTCTGATCCTCATTCATTAAATGCAAAACAGATACTGACCTTTACATGTTGGGAAACTGGGGGACCATCCAAAGTCATAGCATTGCACTGAATCTGGTCCAACTCTGTGTCCTGGTCGGCAAGAAAATTTCAGCAAATCTCCAACTTTATATTTTTCCTTCTTGAGATCGACGATTAAGTTTGGATCTAGTAAGGGAATGCTACATTCTCTTTCTTTAAAGTAAGATAGTAATAATATACAATTAATTACTTCTAAGTAGGTTTATCTCTCTCATGTACAGTCACAAGGAAACATCAGTAACCCTCTTCCTTACTAAAAATGTTGCATATTAGCATATATTTAGCACTCAAATCTATATAGAAGTCTCTAAGAAATGTAAGGTGGTGCATTGTACTAGTTGTAAAATTGATTAATAAAATCAACTTATTTTTCCTGATCTTATTTTCTGTAGGGAGTTATTAATGTTAAAGTCACAACTTTCTTATTCTCACAGCATAGAGTATGCTCCCATATTTAAAATTAATGCTATAAAATATCTAAATCACATATTAAAAATTTTCAGTTTAATATAATTGAGAAAATATAACACATAAAATAAATTCTAATGTATTTGATGTTAGGAAAATATAATTATTTTATTTTAAATTAAAGAAGTAAAAGACATTTGCAAAACACTTATATTACTCAACTACTTTGTTATACTTCCAGTTCTTATCAATAATTAATTGTTAATTATTCTGACACAAATTAGGAATGTATAACTTGCAGCATTAAAATAAAATTTTCTTCGGTATTTGGCATTGTTACAAAAACAATTAGATAAATATTTTCCATCCGTTATATTTCCATTTTTGCTAAATTATAAATTAAAAATCACAATTTTAAAATTAGGGTGATACATAAAAGATAATTCATACTTTAAAAAATTAACTGTTAGTACATAATCATCAATAGATTTGAAAGTCATGGTTTGAAACTAGTATCAAAAATATTTACTAGATATGGTTAATCATAGTTAAAAAAATATTTACAATGTGGATAGAGATGGACCTCAGATGAATGGCACATGCTAAGTGTGTGAGAAAAAAACTTCTGGGAATCCTCTCCAAATAATTTCTTTATTTTAATATTGAGTTTTAGATTAACTGGAAAAAAATTGTCCAGAACAAGACTCACCAAAATTATTCTATTATACAATTATAATAATTTAAAGATGCTCTTTTTTTAATCTGTGCCTGTTTATGTGTTTCACCTTATTTATAGCAATTATCTTATAGCATACCATAATACTCTATCTAAAGTGAAAAATACCCCCCCCCTTTTTAAAATTTATATTTGTAATTATTTTTATTTCCCTGGTTTTCGAGACAGGGTTTCCCTGTAGTTTTGGAATCTGTTGTAATTTTGGAGCCTGTCCTAAAACTAGCCCTTGTAGACCAGGCCTGGGTCTCACAAAGATCCACCTGACTCTATCTCCCGAATGCAGTGACTAAAGGTGTGCACAAACACTGCCCTGCTATATTTGTTATTCTAGGACTGGCCTTTAGGCTTTCTTCAGTCAAGTATTCTTCAACTGAATTAATAGCCCTGCCTCTGCATTCTATGTTAGAATTGCACTGTATTATAGAAAGTCCTGATTTTATAATCTTGAACTGCTTATAATTAGAGAGAAATTAATGACCACTCTTTGTTTAGTTTGATATTGGGGGTGGGCAGGGACAGGTCACTTGCTTATTTTAGTTTATGATAGGTCTTCCTATGCAGCCTAGTGCAGGGAACCATGAAGTTGACTCAAGACACCCAAGACTAAGTTCTCAGCACAGAGATTTATTTGCCCCAGAGGGGAGAGGAGCATGGAGCAAGGAGACAAAGCCAAGAGATAGAAGACAGAGGACAAGGGAGAAGGGGGAAGGCCTGAAGGGAGAGGGGGAAGGGTATTTGTTCTAGAGGTAAGAAGACAAAGGACTAACTACCTCTGAATAGAAAGAAGACAGACTTGGTTTATAGGAAGATGGTGGTTTATAAATGTAAAAGGAGAAACCCCTTGTTAGGATGAGGAGTTTAATTTTACTTGGGTTTGTTAATTAGGTGAGCCAAAGAGGGCTTTTGATTGATTAACTATGATAATGGAACTTGGTAGTCAGCCTTAGGAAGAGGATGTGACCAAATGAGGTAATAGAACTTGGTAGCTAGTTAAGAATATAACCTAATGGTTTTTAGCCAGGCAGAGGGAATGGGGAAGAAGGGCAAGGCCTGGCAGAGCCTTAGATACAATGCTCAGGCTGGTTAGACCTTCACCTAGACTGGTGTGGAACTCAGGACACTGATGCTTCTAATTCCTAAGTGCTAAAATTAATGGTGTGCACCACCCTGCCAGGCATAAACATCCTTAATGAATTCTGTTTCAGGGGACCCTTGAGCTGCAAATCAGGTTTCACAGTTTCTGTTACTATCCTTTTAATTATTTTTACCCTTCCAATTACTCTGTCTCCGCTTCCTTCACCCTGTTCATGTTTGCATGACTTAGTTTCATATTTCAAATCACAATTTTGGTAACTGAGACTTAGTTTAAATTATTGAAAGCTTGCATCTATGACAATAAATCAATTATATTTTAATCAGAGATATGTGATATACACAGGTCATACAAAGGAATCCTTAATTCATTTTGTTTGTTAGTTTTCTTTTTTTATTTTGTGAAACACAGACTCATTATGTATCCCAACATGTCCTCAAATGTAAACCCTCCTGTGCCTGGCTCCTAAATGCTAGAATCACAAGCATGCGGCATCTACACCTGAAGAATGTATTATTTTAAAATAGATTATCAGGGCGGTGAAATGGTTCCTGTCAGAGTTAATGCTGGCATCCAAGGCTGGTGACCTAGTTTCAATCCCTGGGAGTCCAAGATGAAGAGAGGGAGATGCCTATCACAGGCTCTCTGACATCTACATATGCAATGTGGTGAGTGTTAGTTCTCAAACTCAGGATGAAGGCCTAGCTGAGGTGCCTATTTAACATATCAAAGCAGATGCTGACCAGTCTCTCTCAGCATCACCAATATCTGTTACAGAGGCTTTGCCCTTCTCAGCACTTCTCACCACATCCCTTACCCCATCCTCTCCAGACCCTAGGTTTCACTGCTTCTGTCCTAGCTGCTCTTTCATAAATAACCCAGCCATTTTGGCTGTGCTGTCTCTGGGTTTCTGGGTTTCCAGGTAGAATCCTTGTTCCCTTTCTCCTCTTTTCCTGTCTTACAACTCTCACTGCCTGGCTCAGACTGGACCCTCTGGCTATGGTCTCCCTCATATCTACAATAAACCTTCTCCTCCAGCCATACCTAAGAGAGTCATGTCCTCATCTTTTTATTCAGTGTCCACACCTCCATAGACACACACATGTATGCTTGTGCACACAGGATAAATAGATGAATGTGATGAAATAGGGAAAGCAGATATGATCACCTTTGGCCTTCTTTTTTTCTTTCTCACAGGTTATTTTCAACAAGAAGGAAAGTTCTAGGAAATTTATTTTAAACTAACAATTACATATTTAGTTTTATTTTTAAAAATTCAATAGAAAATAGTACTCACCATAGCATGAGGGTTTATCAGACCATCCATCATAATTACACGTTATGGAGCCTTTGGTATCTTTATGTCTGTTTTCATATCCAACATGGCATTCATAGTCTAATTTGTCATTGAGTTTAAACCATGTGCTATTACTTTTAGTTCCAGCATTCTCAAATATAGGCCTATCACAAGACTCTAATGCAAAATAAAGGGAAGGTTTTATTTCTATTGTGCCAATGGATAATCTGAGTAATTTCCATGAGAATAAAATATTCTTATGTTAATATATGATAGCAAATTAAATACTGTCTATAAAAATTTTAGTAGAGCAACAGTAAATAATTCTCCTGAAACAGTCCTGAAAATAAAAACTATACTACAGTATTGCATACACAACCTCACTTAAGCTTTTGTAAAATATTATTTTAAACATAGTTTCTCAGCTCAGTTTTTCTTATGTTTATCATAAGTGCCTATGTGTTTTATTTTTAGGAAGGTATAATAGCATTTTGTGAATTCAGGTCACATATTTAGTAGGTAAAATGATTCATAAAGTATAGAAAAGTTGATTAGTTGAATTTAGTACAGATGCATTTATTGTATTACAGCAAAGGTTATCTCTTCCATAATAAGAAAATCCAATAAAGTCTTCTTAATTGTAATTTAATATAAATGAATATTACATGGGAGTAATCTTAATTGCCTCTCCTTTAACAGGATCTTGTAAAAATGTAATAGATTTAAATGATGAAAAATTAAGGAATTAGTGGCTACCCTAAATTGCTTTTTCATTTAAGGTATGTTGAATAGTTCTTTAAAAATATCACTGGCTAGCTTTCTGATAAGATAAGCTGAATTCTCAACATCCTTAGTCATCAGAAAACTGCATATCAAAACAAATCTGAGATTCCATCTTACACCTGTAAGAATAGCCAAGATCAAAAACTGATGACAACTTAGGCTGAATTTAGTGTGGGGTAAAGGGAACACTCCTGTATTGCTGCTGGGAGTGCAAGCTGGCACAGCCCCTTTGGATATCTGTATGGCTATTTATCAGAAAAATAGTGAACAACCTTCCTTAAGACCCAGCAATATCACTTTTGTGTATATAGCCAAATGAACTAAATACTATTCTTTAAAAAAATCTTCATAAAATCTAAGACAAGGAAAAATTCCAAAGCAGCATGATTTGCTGCTACCTGGAATCATTTCTTCCTTCCAATATCAAGTTATTTGGGGACATTTTCTAAGAGAAAAATGTTCTACATGGACCTTCACTGATAGTGTTAAATACATATTTTAACATTATTACATATTTTGGGGTTTAGAACATGGGGTTTACATATTCGTGGGGTTTAGAACATATGTATTCATTAGAAACTTTACCTTACATCTAGAAGCTATGGCCTTGACATTCAAGTCAGAACACTTTTTTAAAAGGCAGCAAGTCAAAGAATCTTTCACTGGATTCAAAATTATATATTTTGATGCATTGATAGGCAAAATGAACTGAAATACTACCATACAGCAAGGAGTTCCAAAGGAAAATAAAGAGTGGTGCACACTTTTTCTTGAAGTTAAAAACTTATCTTTTAAATGAAGTAACATGAGCCACATAAAAGAAAAAAAACTAAACTCTTATATACCAGTATAATGGCAGCATTATATTGAAGTACTCACTAATGCATGAGGGTTGAGCTGACCATCCATTTTGTAGACAAGTAATTGGTCCTGATGTTTTCCCATTTGCTGTTACATATCCCTGTTTGCACTTATACTGTGTTGTTTTATTTATATGATATGCAAGATCAGGTTCAGAAAAAAAGCCATTCTCAATTTCTATATCTGACTTTGAACATGCTTCTGAAATGCAAAAGAGCAAGAAAAGCACTAGTGAATGTACAGTGGCTTAAAGACTCACAATATAAAAAATAGTAAAAATAACCATTAGCATCTATGTGTGAAGTCCTGTTTAATCAAAACCATTCACATTACTGTGCCAAAGAGAAGAAATCGTAGTTTTAAAAATACACAATAATACTGTCAGAATTTTTTTCTACAAAGGCAAGATTTAGTTCACTCATAAATATTATGTTTTGTCCAAGTATATCCATAATCCTTCATAATGTCAGCTCTCTTGAAAATATGTTATTTTTAATTTTTTATATTTTTCTTGTACTTTTTTTAAAACCTGAGAGTAAATTGGCTCTCTGAGATGCATAAAAACATTTACTTAAATAGAGTTCCTTTGTTTGGATGAAGATCTAGGGAAATACATTGCTGTTACAGACTCTTGTAAAAAGAATTTGAAATATCTTCCTAACTGCATGTCTAAAAAACAATGGATGTTCAAAGTTCAAAGAAGTTTAGAATAAATAATACATTTATTCAGTGTTCTTATGCCAAGACGTTGCCAACTCAAATGTGCAAATGAACTTAAAAGTGTAAAAGTAAATTTATTAATTTCATTTTTATGTTAATAACATTTTAATGTGAAATATACTAGATAAAGGTTTATTACATGAAAAATTAACATAAAGGGAATGTGTAAAAGTATACTTCTTCCAGTTACTATATTTCTTCCAGTACACATATTTGTTTATTTATGGAAATGAAAGGAGAAAATGTTAACTATTTTATATCTTACTGAAAACATAAGATCAAACATTGGGAGGTAACACTAAGTAGTGGAGAGATAGGAACATCATGAAACTGCTGAAAAAGAATAAAGAAAAAAATTCAATATTTTTTTTCAATTTTTATACTTAGATAAAAGTAAATAGCAACATAAATTCAAATTTTGAAAACCTAAAAACATAAAGGGAGATCAAACAGAAACCAGACAAGGGAAAAGTAAGGAAGTTGTATGATCTTGTAAAGAAATGTAATAAAATTATAAATTAAAAAAAAGTGGAGTGTCAGACATAAACAAACAAAGAAACAGAGGTTTATAACTGTAAACCACCAATGCCAGGTATAGGAAGACAGAGAGCACTGGACTAAAATTTCAGAGGTATCGATAAATTAATGAGGTCCTTTATCAAGTTGGCTTTATAAATGGAGGAATTTTCCGGAAAATAACATAGTGAGAAAAGAACCGAGTAAGGAAAAAAGTCGGATGTTTTAGCAACAAACATCACTCTTTTCAAGAGGTTTGTGCCACTGAAATCTGTGGCAAACAAAGCACAGACAAGAGAACATAGAACTAAAGCAGAAGTCTCCAGATCTCCGCAGCTGTCCTCTAGCTTCTTTGGCCATATGTCAGCATAGTGCGACGCAAAATAAAATGATGGGATGCCAAGAACAAGAGACAAAAAACATTCCAAATAGTAAGGTCAACAATTCCCAGAACACCATCATTGTGAGATATTCAAACTGGAAGGGTGAAAGGATTGATTTTTTTTTTTTTTTTGATTGATTCTTTCGATCACCATCATCCTTTAGAAAGACCCCGGTCTTTTGCCGTCTTCCCCCTTTTGTATGGTGGTATAAGAGTGTATGTATGGAGAATTAAACATGGGCAAACTCAGATTTCATTATGTAGAAAAAACTGTGTGGCCCTACTGATACTATCCTATGTCTTTGTCTTCCTTCCTTCCTTCCTTCCTTCTTTCCCTTCCTTCCTTCCTTCCTTCCTTCCTTCCTTCCTTCCTTCCTTCCTTCCTTCCTTCCTTCCTTTCTTTCTTTTTGTTTTTTGAAACAGGGCTTCTCTGTAGCTTTGGAGCCTGTCTGTCCTGGAAGTAGCTCTTGTAGACCAGGTTGGCGTCAAACTCACAGAGATCAGCCTGCCTCTACCTCCTGAGTGCTGGGATTAAAGGCATGTGCCACCACTGCATGGCTTGTGTTTCTTATCTCTATTCCTCTTACCTAATTTTTCTAATCCTCATACCCCTACCCTGGAATGTACAAACATACTATGGCTAGGAGCCTGGCAAAAGTCACCCCAAAAAGGTGGCTCCAGACATATGGCAGTGCTGGGAGCAAAACTAAACTGAATTCTGGGAGAAGGCAGCCTTAAGAAGTATAAGAGAAGGCATTTGACAAAAATTCAAAACCAGATTAAACATGTAAGGGCATATCACATTCAGATGTATAAAACTCAATATTATTTATTATATGCCTAATTATTTCAAATTTGTTTTGAAAACCAAGATAATATCAATCAAATCTAAAAAACATTATTTAAGGGAAGTTGACAGTCAGCATAAACAAAGAACACAATTGTGATATGTACATCTAAAACAGACTGATTTTTAGAATTTTTAATATTCCAGCAAACTAATTACAAATTATGAACTAGAAAAAAATTGCACTTGAAAAACTGAAATTATTACTTCTATATTAACCTAGGACATCTTTTTAGAAAACCAAATCATAATAGAAGAAATGCATATCAACAGTATCATATTGAAATATTTATCAATATTTACTTATGAAAATAAAATGTGACATCCTGCCGTCATTTTCAAACACATGGAGCAAGAAAAAATTGACACAGACATATATTACTACAGATTTTGGAGAAAACATGAAAACCGATGATGTACAGTGTCCCAGAATTCCTTTCCCTGTTACATATCACAGAGAATCCAAAGACAATTATCAGTACTTTCAAATGGGAGGGTACTGCTTGAATATATGAATGATGTGTATAGCTAGTATCATATTTGTTGAATTTTAAACTATAGTCATATAATTGTTTTGAGTAAAATAAAAAAAGTGATTTCAAAGTTTATAGTACCCTAAATTAAACACATTTTACTAAATGTTTTGTTGTGTTATGGTCTAATGTTTACTAGATGTGTTTACTTTGCTATATACAAATTTTCTCATATATGCTCTTGAAAAGAAGCATTTTACCACAGTTAATATAGATGAGATGGGAAGTCAAAAGTTTCTTGTGATATCAGAGCTTGTTTCTTACTAACATGGATGCATTTGGGTTGAGGAGACCAGTCTCTGTACATGTAACTGTTTCCTGATCATTTGGAAGACTGTAGCCAGAGTAACATTGAACTCTTACAGACTGGTCCTGTACGTAGTTTTCTGTCTGTGGTAAAAATTGCCCATTTTCTACATAATATAAACCTCATTGTCCTAAGAACCATAAGATGATAAATTAAAAACATTGAAACACTCATTTATTCAAAAAACCAAATTAAAGTTTACCTTTAGAACATTTAAGTGGATGTGTGACATTCAAAATAAAACCAATACTCAATGTTTAAAAGAGTACAACTCTTCTTAATTTTTATAAATAAAACGTACAAGCCACCAAATCATTCTCATAGTCCCTTTTATTGATCTGCATTTCACGAAGAGCTGCTCATAAAGGACAGAAGCTAGTCTTTCCTTGCTCATAAAGTCTTCTGCTGGGCTTATTTTTGTCGTGAGGAATTTACCCACAATTATGCATGAACTCTTCCTTTCCACTCATGGGTAGAATTAAACATGATTTAATATAGACATTGACTTACTGAGGCATGGAACTGCAGGCTCCCACCCCTGTACAGTGCAGCGAATGTAGTCCCACTTTGTCCCTGAAGGAGTCACAAATCCTCTGTTGCAGTAATAGCCGAGCTGCTTTCCTCTAAATGCTGGGAAGAAGAATCTGAAGAAGCTGTGGTTCTCTTCACTCTTTAGACCTCCATTTTTGATTCGTGGAAAATCACAAGGTTTCCCTTGCAAGAGAAAAAAAAAACAGAAAAACACTCAGGAATAAACCCTTTGAATAATTAATTGCTTTTTATTAAAATAGCTATGTCTAGAGAGTATCTGGAAGAAGGAGACAGATGAAATTCAGACAACTGTAGTATGGAAGAATATCTTTTTTATGAGATCAAGTTATCTCTTCAAGCTCACTAGAGAAGTGAGTCGGGGATATTTAATAACCAATATGATGACTGCTTATTTATAACTTGAATTTGAACAGAAGTATAATGTCATTACATTATAGTGAGATATTATAAACTCATATTTATGTGTTATACTGTTCATTGTATTTACAAGTTTATATGAAATGTTTAAATTTTTCCTTCTATGTTCTTCTTTATAAATGAATAATATATTATTATCAGAATAGCAATTTTTTTCATGGAGGGTGATTCTGTGCCAGGAAACTTCATCCAATATGTTACAATAATTCCAACAAATACTTACAAAAGCACACAAATTTCTAATGGCTTTGTCATTTTTTTTGTTGTTGTTGTTTTAAAAGAGAAAATTTTAATGAAATCTCAAAATCTGATACAAAATGTTTTTATTTGAGAAATTTAGGAATTACATTTTTCATAGAACATCAATAAATTGAATTAGCTCACTGAGATTTCTTTTTAAGGGTGGCAAAAAGAGACATCGTTTAAAGTAGGAATATCATTATTACCAGAGTACTAAGACTCTTAACTAATCTTCATTCTTATGTGGGCACCAGTGAATCTCTTTGTCTTTTTTGTAGGTGATTCCTTGACACACAACTAATATTTCATGAAGTATATAACCAGCAGAGGTGGTCAGTACTTAAAGCTTCCCCATTTGAATCTCATACTTTTCCAGATGCAGGTTGCGACCCTATCAGCAGTGATGGTTGTGTCTTTCAAGGGCTGATTGAGGTTACTCAGAGCATTGATTGATTCGTTTGCTATTTTTACAACTGTTCTAAATAAGCACAAGGGCAGCTCATTTTTTTATCCATTCCAAGATTTTTTAGTTATTACTGCTAATTCCATTTTACTACAGATTCAATATGGTGCAAAAGATCAATTTGAAGAATATGTCCTAATGAAGATGCAGGCTCTTCATCCCTTGTTTTGTTCAACTTTTGAATTCATACTGTATTTTCTTGCAAACAATAAAATATTTGATAAAAGAAAGGGCCAAGTGAATATTCCTGAGAAAAGAATACTACATTTAAGTAGAAAAGGTTATTATTTTAAATTACAGAGATATTAATTATCTTTATCTTATCCAAGAAAACATTAAAAATTACATTGCAAAACAACTCAAATTCAGATATATTTATTCCACAGATGTCACAGATATCTTTGGGAAGATCTATGATGTAGAAACTAACCATAATTGTGTTTGAGGCTCACTGCACTACTCAGATTTCTCACATGTAATTGCAAACCTACAAAAAAGCCCATGACAAGCATGTAAGAACACTGGCACAGGAAAGCACTTCCTAAACATAAACCCAGTAGCACAGACACAGAGGGAATCAATTAATAAATGGGACCTCCTGAAACTTAGAAGCTTCTGTAAAGCAAAGAACATGGCCAACAAAACAAAATGGCAGCCTAAAGAATGGAAAAAGATCTTCACCAAGCCCACATCAGATGGAGTGTTGATCTCCAAAATATACAAAAAACCCAAGAAATTGGTCATCAAAAGAACAAATAATCCCATAAAATAATGGGGTTCAGACCTAAACAGAGAACCCTCAACAGAGGAATCTAAAATGGCTGAACGACAGTTCAGGAAATGTTCAACTTCCTTTGTCATCAGAGAAATGCAAATCAAAACAACTCTGAGATTCCATCTTGCACTGTAAGAATGGCCAAGATCAAAAACACAGATCACAGCTTATGCTTGAGAGGATGTGGTGTAAAGGGAACACTCCTTCATTGCTGGTGGTAGTGTAAGCTGGTAGAGCCATTTTGGATATCAGTATGGTGATTTCTCAGAAAATTAGGAAACAACCTTTCTCAAGACCCAGTAATACCACTTTTGTGTATATACCGAAAGGATGCTCAATTGTATCACAAGGACATGTGCTCAACTATGTTTATAGCAACATTGCCATAGCCAGAACCTGGAAACAACCTAAATGTCCCTCTATTGAAGAACGGAAAAGAAAAATGTGTTACATTTACACGATGGAGTACTACACAGCAGAAAAAAATAATGACATCTTGAGATTTGCAGGCAAATGGATGGATCTAGAAAGCATCATATTGAGTGAGGTAACTCAGACCAAGAAAGACAAATGTCATATGTACTCACTCATAAGTGACTTTTAAACATAAAGCAAACAAAACCAATCTACCATTCACAATCCCAGAGAACCTAGACAATAACGAGGCCCCTAAGAAAGACATACATATATCTAATCTACATGGGAAGTAGAAAAAGACAAGATCTCCTGAGTAAATTTGGAGCATGGGGACCATGGTAGAGGGTAGGAGGGGAGGGGAATGGAAGTCAGGGGAGCAGAGAAAATACATAGCTCAATAAAATCAGTAAAAGCATTTTTAAAAATCTAGGGAGAATTTAATTCTGTTACCAAGATAATTTGACTAAGTACTGAACAATCATCTAAAAAAATTGTATATTTATAGGCAATAAACAGTGTCAACATTAATCATAAAAGTGTCTGTTTTTCATTAAACCATGATGAACCTATAGATTTATTAATATGCAGGATATTGGGAATAGTGAGAGTTTTGTGCTCAGTAGTAAACAAGTCATTTACACCATCACATCCATTGTTCAGACAACATGAAGAAGGGACACAATCATGCTAAGATCTAGATGTAGTGATCATGATTGTGACATATCATCTGTGCTATATACTGCCATTACAATAACAAAATCTGAAAATCAACAGAGTCCTGCCCTGAGTCTGCTTAAGAATGGACCTTCAGCATTGAGGCTTGAGTGAAGTGAGGTCCCAGGAAACCGTTTCATGCTGATAAATTCATGAAAAAGGGGTGTCAGTGCTCAGAGTTCTATACCCACCCATTAATGAGCAAACCACATTCCAAAAGACAGCTTTGATTCAGTGTTATGAATATGTCCTGGTTAAAGCAAATACATAACACATCAAAACTCAAACTTATGAATCTTGGGAAAGCTCAAGCAAGGATAGAATGTTGTTGTTGGAGAAGTGGGATGTAAGGAAAGGTGAGGAAATAGAATATCCAGAGTATATTATATAATTTAAGAAACTGTCAACAAAAATTTTAAAAATTAAAATATAAAAAAATTATTAAATGCTTTCCTTATAATTCTCATATATTTCTTACTGAAAATAGTTTTTTATATTACTTGGACCTGATATATTTTCCAAAATCTTATGTCAGAGAGAAACTTGGTTCCTCACTGCCTCTTCTATTGGAAATGGTATATAGTTCAGGAACTGCTGATCTAGTTTAAGTAGCTTGGGGCACTAGGGTAGGGTCTTTGAAGGGATATTTGGATGTTGGCTATTCCTTTCTAGTTATTTTTTTCTGGTGGACAAGAGGCAAGCATCTTTGCCTTAGTACTCACTCCATGACTTAATCCTCTTCCGGTTTCAGGTCTAAAGTGAAGGGAGTCACGAAAACTGAATAAATCCTTGTTCTAAATTATTAACTTCAGTAATATTGACATAAAACCAAAAAAATACCAAGAAAGAGACCCTTGGTGGTGACTTTTTTATCATCTCCTCTCTCTCTCTCTCTCTCTCTCTCTCTCTCTCTCTCTCACACACACACACACACACACACACACACACACACACACACCACGACAATACACACACTGCTAAATAGAAAGATTCAGATAGGCAAAAACCTGAAAGAATGAAAAAAGTATGCCAGAAATAGAATACTCTTGACTCTAATGACACTGTGCTACATGTGTGTTAAGAAGACACCGAAGTTCTTCAAAGAAATTGTGTCCAAAGAGGGAAATACAATTTCCCTCTTCATGTGTGAGTTGGGCTTAGAACATAAAGTACTACCATGCCAAACACAATTGTGTGTGAGTAGATCATAGACTGCTACTTTGCCCCCACAGTAGAGTAAGTTAGCTGTCATCAAGCAATATATACAGACACTTTTTTGATAAGGAACTGTGGCCTCTTGCCAAAGCCTTGTTTGAGAGACATGTTGGACATAGGGCCTAATGCTCAGCAAATGCTCCTGATTGACAGCCAGTGCAGTCTCTGACAGGACCATCGTCATTCAAGAGACAGTAGCCAAGTCATCCTCACACTTGGAGCATAGAAATGGGGAGACAATAAAGATTATCTATGAAGTAAACTTGTTTAATAATATTTTTATTTATATATGTCTAATATATATGTCTTACATATATATATATATTCTGTGATAAAAAGTAACTAAAAGTAGGTCTTACATAACAATATTCATACCCAATTATTTCTTCTGCTTTCTAATTCTTTGATTGACATTGCCATCTTGACTCTCCTCCAATGTATGTATTGATATTTGCAAACTTTTTACTTCTGAATAGTTGTGAAGATTTCACACCACTTCCTCTTTTAAGTAAATGTGTCCTCTGACCTACAGAGGAAAACTAACTTATGAGGAAGCTATATATTTCACCTAGGAGAAAAATATAGTGTAATCTCACTTTTAAAATGAAAAAATGAAAACACGTCTATCATAAATTAAGAACTTGAAAAGTGAATTTACTTCCTATTTATTAAAATAGCTACACAAGAAAACAGAGGTTATCCTGAATAAGAAAACAAAAGGAATTCAGACACCTGAAGAAGATGAGTCAAGTTATTCTTACATTTCACCAGAGAAGTAGATTAGAGATATTTGTTAATAACCAATATAACAACATATTCATAATTTTAACTGGAACTGCAAAAACATGAATGAATCATATTGTCATACCTGTAGCTTCAATATTGAAGTGCTATATTGTTCCTTGTATTATCATTAACATG